AGTGAATGGGCCTCAGAATTATGGTTTAGACTGCTAAGGACATGCAACTTCCCTGGGACCAAGCAAATACTGTTGGTGCTTGCCCAAGTTAGCTATTCACTAGGCAGGAAGGCCAAACAGCAAAAAATCTCTGGACTATAAGGGTACAGGGTCCCCACACCAGGGGTTTGTGCATTGAGGAGGCCCTATGAAATTTACCTGTGATAGGCTGAATTTGCACACCCACAACCCAGGGGACAGCTAATACAGAAACAAAGATCATAAGCAAAGAGAGAATTCTAACAAGTACCAGAGTCAGTGCTCAATCTGAAATACAGAATCTCTTAAGGGTTATTGTAAGGAATTGGCTTAGGCTATAGTGGAGCTGGAGAAGCAAGTCTGAAGTCTGGGGCAGGAACGGGAGATTGAGAGCAAGTTGGAAGCTCATGAACACAGGGTAAAGCCTTGTTGTCCACAAGCAGAGAAGAAAGGTAGATCATGAGCAGACTGGAGCCCCAAGAGCATAGAAAATTTGGAACCAGGTGTGGGGGTGTGCATTGTAATAACAGAACTCAGATGGCTGAGGCAGGCCAGCCTGGGCTACATACAAAGACCCTGTTCCAAAAAAACAAAAACAAAACAACGTAACACAAAAACAACAACAAACCAAAAATAAAAAATTTGGACTCTCTGAAGTTAACAAAGGCCTAAGCACCATTTTATCTGTATTTTTTGTTTGTTTGTTTGTTTGGTGGGCCTTGTGCTTGCTAGGTGTGTTGCTCTATTACTGGAGCCACCCCTTCAGCCCCCTAAGCACCATTTTAAAGTACTCACCTGATTAGGTCAGGCTCACCTCTCTACAGTCCTTTTTAAAAATTAACTTAGTCAACTGATTAGTAACTTTTATTATATTTGAAAAACCTTGGATTAATGTTTGATTAATTAACTGAGGACTGTTGTTTAGCTTAGCCGAGTTTATATGTCAAAACGCCATTATACAACATGAGCCAATTATGAGACATGGGTCCCTTTCCTTTTCCTTCCTCCATCTATCAGTACACTGGGAAAGCTACAGCCTACAAAAGAGATGGAAGCCTCTGAGAGAAAGACCATAAAACTTTCCCACAGTCTCCCAGGGGAGAGATTGGGAGGCATGAAACAGCACACCACATCCCCTCCCTGTTCACAGACCTGGAGCTACAGATCTGGCCTGCAGTGGGATGGGGATATAAGGTAAAACTTTAATGATGGACAGCAAGGGATATCTAACTAAGATGTCATTAAGGTAACTACTGGCTAGCAGGGAAGATCTGACATAGCAAATTTGGGTACAGTAACTGGGAACACCTAAAACTCTACTAGTAGAGCCAAGCAGATAACAGAGTGATTAGATTATAAAAAAAATTAGATTAGAAGGACTACTAAAGCCTGGTGGAGTGGCTCAAGTGGTAGATTGTCTGTATAGTAAGCATGAAGTCCTGAGTTCAAACCCTAGTACCATGAAAAAAAAAAGAGAACTACTAAAAAAATGTTTAAACAGAAGAAAAAACCCAAGTGGCTGGAAAGGTTGGGAAAAGCTTGTTTCTAAAGACAGAATTTGGCTGGGCCTTAAAAGATGAGCAGTATTTAGAATGTTGGAGCAGAGGGGAAGCTAACAAGAGTACAGGCTTAGGAAATATCTTACACAGCAGGAAGGGAGGTCAAGGAGGACAGCGGGTTTATTGTCAGAGCAAGCGTGTGGGTGTTAGGGAGCCGAGTTTTGACAGAAGCTGGATTAGGCAGGGTACTGAGAGCAGGCAGAGGAGCAGACATTTGATAAAGTACAGAATTAGATCATAGAGAACTCTAGGTTCTTGAATGGGGAGAGCTTAAGGGAAAGTTTTGTTTTGTTTTGAATGTGAAAGGATAATACAGATGGATTTTTAAGGACTGGGATCAAAGGGGCTAATTAGGATGAGGGTACAATATTCTAGATCGAATTCACAATAAGAAATACAGAATATGAGGATAAATGGGATTGGAGGAGAAAGGGAAAATTCGAGAAGGATACTAAAGACAAAAACAGTAAAACTGACAACCACATGGGAGGGAGTGCAATGGCAGAAAGGCTAACTGAGAGCATTCCTTGATTTCTAGTTTGGGGAACTAGAAAAATGGTGACACATCACAAAGGGACGTGAGGAAGATGGGAAAGGAAAGCACACTTGGGAGATGGAGACTGTTAATTCAGTTTGGGGTTATGGAAGCTTAAGCCAGGATTAGAAGTGGAAATGTCCTAGAAGGTGGAAATAAAGAATGCTCAGATCTACCTGATTGTGGCATGCTGGAGGGCTGAAGGCTCAGAGGCATGGGCAGTGCGTTTTTCAGGACTTTTACCAGCTGAAAGGGGTGCCTTTTAGAAGAGGAAGCAGTAAATAGAACAGAACAGTTGGCTATCCAGATGGTGTCAAAGAATGGAATTGGATTGGATTTCTGGGCCATGGTTTAAGAGTTTTGGCAAGGAACAAGGGAGTTTTGAGGGAAAAAATGGTGCTCTCTCTTTCTTTCTCTCTCTCTCTCTCTCTCTCTCTCTCTCTCTCTCTCTCTCCCTCTCTTCTGTTGGGGAGAAGGAAAAGGATCACTGGGAAGAAAATGGGAAATTGTTCAAATGAATAAAGAAGGCAGGCAGGCTAGAAATAATAACATAAATGCTATACAGTGTTCCATAAGATATTTATAGGTGGAAGAAAACCAAATTTATTGCTAATATTTACTGAGAATTTACTCTACACTAGCACTGTGGCAAATTCTCTATATACATTATTTCTTTAATCCTTACTTTTAAAAAAATCTCAACATTTTCCCACTCAACAGTATGTAGTAGACATCTTTTCCATGTCAGTAAAGATCTACGTTGTCATTTAAAATTTTTCAAAATTATTTTTACATTTATTTATTTTTGAGGCAGAGTTTCACTATGTAGTCTAGGCTGAACTAGAGCTTGCCATTCTCCTGCCTCAGCCTCCAAGGTGCTGGGATTACATGTGCATCACCACACCTAACCTACAGTGCCATTTTTAATGGATGCATAGCATACCAGTTCATTGTGTGAAGGTTCATGGTAGTTAAGAGCCAATGACCTTACCTGTGTATACATACATTTTCCACACATATCTTGTATGCTTTTTTGTTTTTAGTAACAGATGAAAAATTTTAGTTTTTATTTATTGAGTAATATCATGATTCAAAAACAAAAGTATCAAAAAGTATACAGCAAAATGTTTTCTTCCATTCTTATTCCCTGGCCTACCCCAACCAATATTCATTTCTTATATTTTTCAATCCATAATATTTTTATTACATAAGCAAATATAAATATTTTTTCCTTTTTTAAAACACACAATGTAAAAACAGCTTGTGATTATCTTTCTAAGATAAAAATCATAGAAGCAATAAAGGGTAGTTTCTAGTTAAAAATCTTTTTTTTTTTTTTCTTTTGGCAGTACTGGGGTTTGAACTCAGGTTTGCTGGGCACACAAACTCTACCACTTGAGCCACGCCCCCAGACCTTTTTCGATGAGCTATCTTGAGACAAGGGCCTCACTTTTTGCATGGGCCGTCTCTGGACCTCAATCCTCCTGATCTCTGCCTCCATAGTGGCGAGGATTACAAGCTTGAGCCACCGGTGTCCCACCTCTAGTTAAAATCTTAATTCTTATTGCCCAGTTGCTTATCAGAAAGGTTGCACAATTTACATTCTCACCAATGACGCATATTGTTACTAAACTCATTTATTCTCTAATTTCAGTGTATCAGTACATTTTAAAATGTATGGGGAGCTCAGAGTAAATGTTTTTAAATTTCTATAATTTGTAATATAATATAGATTCTGGTATTACACAGAACTAATAATATATAAAAGACAAAGGCTTATCCACTTATAATTTTAATATAGACAATTGGACACAATAAAAAGAAAAGGTTTAATCTAAGTTGTTACTTATTTTTATATGTTTTTCTTTTTTTATCTTTTGAGACAAGGTCTCACTATGTACCCAAGCTGGCTCGAGATCCTCCTGCCTCAGCATCCTGACAGTTGGGATTACAGTCGTGTACAATCATGCCCAACCTATTTTTTCTGTTTATTTCTTTTTTTATGGTATTGGGGTCTTGAACTCAGGACTTTGCACTTGCAAAGTAAGCATTTGCAAAGTAGGTGCTTCACTGCTTGAGTCACACCCCCAGACCATTTTGCTTCAGCTATTTTTGGAGCTGGGGTGTCTCAAACTACTTGTCTGGGCTGGCTTTGAATCTTGAGTCTCCTGATTTCAAAATTCCAAGTCATTAGGTTTACAGGCATAAGGCACTGGCATCGGCTGTGTTTTCTTTTTGGATGGTTAGAGAGATAGACAGGAATGAAAAGATGGAGAAATATCAGTGTATCATATAAAGATGGGATCTAAAGGCTGGAGGTATGGCACAAGTGGTAAAGCACCTGCCTCACAAGCACAAAGCCCTAAATTTAAACCCCAATACTGCAAAAAAAAAAAAAAAAAAAAAAAAAAAGATGGGATGTAGAGCTGAATGAGACAAAGAATAAGCAGAATGGTACAGCTGAAGGGGAAATAAGGGGTGAACAGCCAGGCACCTGTGCCTGATATCTGTTAATACTAGCTGCTCTTGAGGCAGAGATCAGGAGGATGGTGGTTCAAAGACAACCCTGGGCAAATTGTTGGAGAGATCCTATCTTGAAAATACCCAGCACAAAATGGGACTGGTGGAGTGGCTCAAGCATGAGGTGGAGTGCCTGCTTAGCATGAGGCCCTGAGTCCAAACCTCACTATATCAAAAAAAAAAAAAAAAAAAAAAAGGTGGACAATTTCAGTGGGCTACATATACCTGATAAAGCATATTGCCAGATCATTTTTTCCTATTATTTTTTTTGTTACAACCTCTATTATTGAATAATTGGTGCACAGTATTATAATAGAAATCATAGTTTCAATGGTATGAACATGTACATTTTTCTCTTTTTAAAATAGAATTGAATATCTGAAGAAGAAATGGATACTTCTCTATCCAAAAAATATCCAGTTAAAAAACGGGTGAAAATACATCCTAACACAGTGATGGTGAAATATACTTCTCATTATCCCCAGCCTGGGGATGATGGATATGAAGAAATCAATGAAGACTATGGAAATTTTATGGAAGAAAATCCAAAGAAAGGACTGCTGAGTGAAATGAAAAGAAAAGGAAGGACTTTCTTTGGAACCATGGATGCTCAGCCTCCACCAACAGAAGACCCAGTGACCAGTGAGATTGAACAACTCCAGAGCTTTGCAGAAAAGAATATTTTTCAATCCCGAAAAATGTGGATAGTGCTGTTTGGATCTGCTTTGGCTCATGGATGTGTAGCTCTTATCACTAGGCTTGTCTCTGATCGTTCTAAAGTTCCATCCTTAGAACTGATTTTTATCCGTTCTGTCTTGCAGGTCTTATCAGTGTTAGTTGTGTGTTACTATCAGGAAGCTCCATTTGGACCCAGTGGGTACAGATTACGACTCTTCTTTTACGGTGTATGCAATGTCATTTCTATCACCTGTGCTTATACATCGTTTTCAATAGTTCCTCCCAGTAATGGGACCACTATGTGGAGAGCCACAACCACAGTTTTCAGTGCCATTCTGGCATTTTTACTTGTAGATGAAAAAATGGCTTATGTTGATATGGCTACAGTTGTTTGCAGCATCTTAGGTGTTTGTCTTGTCATGATCCCCAACATTGTTGATGAAGACAATACTTTGCTAAATGCCTGGAAAGAAGCCTTTGGGTACACTATGACCGTGATGGCTGGACTGACCACTGCTCTTTCTATGATAGTATACAGATCCATCAGGGAGAAGATCAGCATGTGGACTGCACTGTTTACCTTTGGTTGGACTGGGACAATCTGGGGAATATCTACTATGTTTGTTCTTCAAGAACCCATCATCCCATTAGATGGAGAAACGTGGAGTTATCTCATTGCTATATGCATCTGTTCCACTGCAGCATTCTTAGGAGTTTATTATGCCTTGGACAAATTCCACCCTGCATTGGTCAGCACAGTGCAACATCTGGAGATTGTGGTGGCTATGGTCCTGCAGCTTCTAGTGTTACATATATTTCCTAGTGTTTATGATGTCTTCGGAGGGGTGATCATCATGATTAGTGTATTTGTCCTTGCTGGCTATAAACTTTACTGGAGGAATTTAAGAAGGGAAGATTATCAAGAAATACTAGACTCTCCCATTAAATGAATACCTGGTTGTTATTATCTTGTTAATGTCTAGTTATTAACATGTACACTGCCATTTCAATGTTTGCCTATAAATGTCTTTTGTGTTATATAATCGACAGAGTGCTATATAATATATAATTAACACATGCAAATGCAGAGAAAATATTCTGGTCAAATATGGAAGCATAAATATTAAATATGTGAAATATGTCATGAACCTGGTGTCTTTATAGTTATTAACAAAAGGTAATTGTGGTACAGAAAGAATGTTACTTCATCATTAAAGAACATAAGACTTGCTGGCAATGGTGGTACATACTTGTTATCTTAGCATTAGGAGGTTGAGGCAGGAGGATCATGAATTTGAGGCCAGCCTGGGCTACATAGAGTTCCAGGCCAGCCCAGGATACATAGTGAGACCCTATCTCAAAACAACACAACACAACACAAGAAAACAACAAAAAAATCCAACCACCAATAACAACCCAAAACAAACATGAACATAAAACTTGAAGTTTCATATTGAATTTCTGTGGTTCTAAAGTTCCAAAATTTGAAAGATGGTTATGCCCAATGTTCTACAAATGTTCAACAAAATCTTGCATCTTGCAATATTCAAAAATCTTCATTTGTGAAAATTACACTACCGAATAAAACATTGTACACTATGCCCTGTTTTGTCATCTACTTGCACTAAAAAACGAGAGGTGACAGAGCTGGGTAAAAGAGCTTGAATTGAGGCAAGAAAGAGGGAACCAAGGAACTGGTTTTTTGATGACAGTAGGTCCAATGTTACAACATGAAGTTGGTCTTACCCTTGTTATGACCACGTTAGGCCATGCATGAGAAATGGATGTAGGGAGAAGACTGAATTCTTACCAGTTCTACATAATCCTTAACATTTTGTGCTGGATGGGGGGGGATGGGGGGAAGGAAAATCTTAATGTTGGGGCAGGGTCTACTTATCCTCAATTATGCAGATCTTTTTCAAAGCTGCCCTTGTTTATGATTTTGTAGCAGTATAAGAGTGAGTTCTACAATAGGTACTCTTACTCCTGAAAAAAACAGTAGCAGTAATCATGATATAACAGGAAATCAACATTAATGATATCTTACGGCATTAATTTGCATCTAATTTGGGTCATTCTTACTAATTCTCCACAAATCTTGATATGACACTGATTACTAAGCTGTTGTTTCTTGACTCCAAATTTACCCTTCTATACTTCCCCTATGACATTGGCTCTTACCTTGCAAATTATATTTTGTGGTTGCTACCTGGTATCTCACTAGCTTCTACCAATAAAGGGCATTAGAGACTGAAAGGCACAAAGAAGGGACGTCCTCCTTTTCATTTGCTTGTAGTTGCTGTCACTGTATTCCAGCAATAAGCAATAGTCCTTTGCTCCAGCAGTAGCAATTGATTTTATTCTTACACTTCTTTTGGCCTTACCTCTCCCCACAACCAACCAGCCTCATCATATCCCTCTCTGAAGTAGTAGGACCAGTTGTATAGCCTCCTCTCAGGGGTCTGTCTGAGCTATAGCTCATTTACATCCTTCCTCTGAGCTTCTGAGACTTGATAGTTCAAACTTAAGCCCCCCCCAGCCCCCCGCCCCTCTTCACTAGTCCTAGGAGGGTGGTAGTGGCTCCATGCAGTTACCACTGCTGGGCTGCCTCAGTGTTAACTTTTGTTTTTCAGTCCACCAATATCCAATACTAAATCCTCTCTGTTGTAATATCTTGTAATTTCTGTTTTCCTGAGTAACATGTCTCCAAATCATCCCAAATCCAGAGATTTTTCAGAGATTACTAGACAATAGCTCTCAATTAGAAAATATGCAAACTGAGCTGGGCATGGCAACCTGTGCCTATTAATTCCAACTACTCAGGAGGCCGAAGCAGAAGGACTGCAAATTAAAGTCCAGCCTGGGTCATTCATGGAGACCCTGTCTCAAAATAAAAAATAAAAAGAGCTGGGGATGTAGCTCCAGGGTACAGTGCTTTCCTAACATTCATGAGGCCTTGGGTTCAATCTCTAACACTGTCAAAAGAAAAATAAAAAAAGAAGAAAAGAAGGAAAAGGAAAAGCAATCAAATAAGCAAATGGAAACTGAATAAGATTTAAAGGTCTGAAGGTGAGTGGGGGGAGAATAGAACCTTAACAACCTGTACCAAGAAGTCTGTCATAAGTGTAACTGTTGTCTCAGAAGAAGAAAAATAGAGAGAATGGGGTAGAAAAAAGTACTTGAAGATGCATTAGTCAACAGTTTTCTAAATCTGATGAAAGAAAGCAAACAAAAAACCCCAGCAACCCAGAGATTCAGCAAACTAGATGAACTCCCAATAGCTTACAAACAAAAAAGACACCTAGAAATGGTGTCACTATTAGTGATAATTCTTGATGACAATGTAACTGGTGACAAACAGATGTAAAGAAGTAAAATATTAAAAGCAGCCAGAAAAGAAAAAAAAAAGACATGACATACAGAAAAAAAAAATTACAACTGGCTTTCAGCAGACACAGTGGAGGCCAGAAAACAGGAGAAAGACATCTATCTGTAAAGTACTAAAAGAAAACCCTTTAATGACTTCTGTCTTAGGATTGCCTATAGGATAAACACTAAGGTCCTTAACTTCTTTTTTTAATAACTTATGAGGCATCTTGTGTTCCAACAATATTCCACTATTGTTTGATGCCTTTTATTATGCATGCTTCTTTACTTAGAAAACCCACCATGAATCTCCCCTCTCCTTGTGGCTTAATACTCCTTCCTTCATCCAGATTTGTCTCGTTATGTTTACGACATTAATGATAAATATATGTTTAACTCTCATTCTCATATACTGGCTTACACTCCTTTAAGATAAGGACTATTCTTTTGACAGCCAATATCTATTGTGTAACCTACCACAAAGTGGACCCTTAAAATTTTGTTGAATTAATTCCTGTAAAAATTCTCATAAAAGCATAACAACACTGAATCCAGAACTTAAATCTAGTTACCAGGCCCACTAATTTCTAGACTTCACTGTCAAGCCTGTGATTACTTTTTTTATTTTTGACGGCACTGAGATTTTGAACTCAGGGCTTTGCACTTGCTAGGCATGTGATTACTTCTTGCTAATTGGTAGGTAGGAGATTTTTGTCCTAAACATGCCTGTCTGATAGGGATGCTAAACTAGATCATAAACCATTTCTAACTCTAAGCTGTCAATGGTTTCCAGGGAAAGGCCTTGAAGCATGGAGACTCATTTTTCCTTTCCTTGTCTTCCCAAATCCTTTTCTTTGGTGTAAATGAAGTGAGTTCCCTTCATGTTTTTATTCCAGACATTAGCCGCCCACCTCTAGTTCATAGGTTGAGTTTAGAATCAAATTTTGTTCCTGCTTGATTCTAATTAGCCTTGATCCACTCAGTACTAATTAATGAGGATAATTCTTGTTTTTGACCCTGAAAGTGAGGAAGAAGAAGCCACTTGCAATGTTTACCTTTGGAAGCTGGGGAGACAGAGTATCGAAAGGAAGTCTCTGAGACAGCTCCCACCCCATAGGAACAACTTTGTTTCTTGTAAGTGCAACGCTCTATGTGACTTTGTGCCCATCTACCCTCCCTCTCTGTGCTTTGTTTCATTGCTCTTTCCTTCTTCTTTAACTCCTCCTTTTCATGGTTTTGGTAAAGGGTTTTAAGAGTTCTTGGTAAGAATGGGTGATGAGCTTAGAGAAGGAAAATTAAGAGGAAAAAACCCTTATTTACAGGGAATTAAAATCCTTTCATGAAGAAACAAAACTTGTCTCCCTCACTTGCAGTTGCTTTTACTCCTGAGCTGGGGATCAAGCTCAGGAATTTGCACAAGCTAAACCAGTGCTCTACCCCTCCAGTTGCTTCTTTCATTGCTTAAATGGGTGGCATATAGTACTCAAGAGGTCTGGATCCAAAGTCTTGTGTTTAGATTATTGGCCTCTAAGAAAATACAGATTTACTTACAAAATTAAATCTAAACTTAAGACTTCAGCATATTTTTTTTTCTGGGATAATTAATGGTATAAACTATGTGAAGGGAAGGTCTGTATTTTACTTGTTTTTGTAGTTACACCCTCTGCCCCTATCACATTAAATATGAAACTAGATTTGAAATTGAGTCAGTTTCTATGTCTGTTGTGTGACTCTGAAGAACTAGTTTTAACTTCTGGACAACAGTTTCATTAAAAATGAAAACAACAATATCTCAATCCATAAACTATAAACATTTAAAAAACCTATTGCATTATCTTGGGTTGTCATAACAAAACAGTGCAGACTGGGAAGCTTAAACAGTATATTTTCTCACAGTTACAGAGGTTGGGAAGTTTCAAGATCAAGGTGCTAGCATGGTTGATGGTGGGTGTGGGCTCTCTTCCTTGCTTGCAGAAGGCTGTCTTCTGTCTGTATCCTCATGGTGGAGAGAGCAAGCTCTCTGGTGTGACTTTTAAAAATCAAGACAAATCCTATCTCATTAGGTCCCCACCTTCATGACCTCATTCAATTTTAGTCACCTTCCAAACGCTTATCTCCAAATACAATCACATTGGGGAGGGGGGTTCAATGTATGAATTTTGCAGGGATACAATTCAGTGTATAGTAGACATGATGAAACACTGTTATTCAAACTCTCAGGATAAATTCATTCATTTGCATTATTCACTTTGGATGCTAATAATGCAATGTACACGTACAGAAGCTGTTGCCTGGTTTTACGGTCTTCTTGTCTCAGCTAAACAGAAGTTAAGAAGAGGTCACAGGTAATTCCTGCTTTACCTTGTGAGCCTATGTAAGGCACACATAGTAATGGATACCACACGTATCCATTAGCACGCAAGTGATTAAATTTTGAAGTTAAATGTAGAAAACTGTGAACTTTTGAGACTTATAGTTAGGGTCAGGATTAAAGGGAAATGAAAATATATGAATGCCTTAAACAAGATTATTTGCGATGTATCACTGGGGGAAAAGTGAACACTGACATGGTTCCCCATTTAATAGAGTTTACAACTTAGGTGCGGATACAGCTGGGATGGAGAAGGTGTCTGTTCCCAGAAAGTTACTAACCCAGCAGGTTTCCCTAAACTAAGCCATAAAGATGGCTAGGAGGTAATGACGCAGGTGATAGGGAGGGGAGTGGGCTGCAGCACAGATGCAGGGGAGAACCAACTTACAGATGACCCTGCAGGTGACTGGGGGCTGGGCAGCCGAGAATGGGCAGTTGAAGCTCAGAAGGTCACTGTCCTTTTAACAACAGGGCTGGAAGCCGCCCACGCACCAGGGCACTCTGAAAGCCTCAGACTCAGTTTATTTTGGTTGTGGCTTAAATCAAGCACACGCCTTACATTTTTCTCCCAGGTCTCCATTTCCAGGCCTTTTTGTTTTTCTTTGTCGCTCCCGGTCCCTAAGAATGAATCTTCCGCTTAGGAGGACCTAGTTCAAGATGCAAAAACGAAGAGGAAACCAGGGCACTTAAGTGCCGCAGTAATTCCTGGCTGTGGCGTTTCTGAAGAGGAAGGCTCAAAGCAACCAGCCGGAGCAGCCAGAAAGGCAAAAAAAAAAAAAAAAAAAAAAAAAAAAAAAAACCCAGAAAGTCACTGCCAGGCCCAGTGCTCCCCATCCTCTCTTATCGCCGCGCAGCCTTAGCTCACCAGACGCCCAGCTCGGCGCTTGATTGACAAGCCAGCTTGCCCAATCCCGTCGCGGCGCAGACCGCCGTCGCGTCAAGGACCGGGGAAAAGGTTGAATGAGCTTATGAGATTGGGCGAGGAGAGAGTTTCCTGCCCCCGTGGGTCCGCCCGCCCCCCGCGCACGGCCCGCCCCTCTCTGGAGAGCTACGCGGCGGCGGAGCGCAGGCCTCGTGCCGTAACGGCCATCTCCGTGGCCGCGGCGGCGTCTTGGTGTCCTCCTCAGGTGACTGGAGCCGCCCGGGCTCGGCACAAGGAAGGTGAGACGGCCTCGGTGGCAGGCAGACATACAGGACCAGCCTTTCGGTCCCCCGTGTGTTCCCACAGCCTGTTACTTGCTGCGTCGCTTCCTCTTCCCCGGCGAACTTAGCCCCGGGGGCGCCGACTGCCGGCGCGGAGCTGAGCCGGAGGGGGCGGGGAGGCCGTTCGGTCGAGGTTGGGCGTCAGCTCCGAGGCTTTGCTCGACCCTGGACTCACTGCCCCGGGCGGCGCGACCCCGCGGCCTCCCTTCTCCCGGAACGCGGCGTCGGGGTGCGCGCCCCTGCGGCCGCCCCGTGTGCGGCGCGCTGTCTCTTGAGTGTGTTCCTCCCGAAAAAAAGTCCTGTTGCCGGTCGTGGCGTAATCGGAGGCCCGGAAGGTAGGGAGTGGGGAAGAAGAAAGGCATTCGTGATCACCTCCAGCCCGACAGCAGGAGAGGGATCCGTGCGAGAGGGGGACATCCTCGGGAAGCGCCCTCGGCCCCTTCTCCTCCCTTCCCCCCTCCAGCCGTTTTTCCTCCGTTCTGGGAGAAATCTAGGTGTTAGCGTTGACCGTGTGGTCCTGCTTTAGATTTGTATGCGACTTGCTTGGCCTGTGAGCTTTTGACACGAGTTGTAGTAGGTCCAGGTAAAAAATGATCTCGATGGGTTGCTTTCCTGCCGCTTCTTACGTGTTTCCATACGAGTTAAGTTCACCATTAGGTGCTCCGACAGCTGGGTTTTGTTCCGGGCTGAGAACTGTAACATAGGCGGCTCAGTTAATGTCGAACTGATGATCCGAAAGTAATTCTGGTCGTTGTATTAGGTAAGAAGCTTTAGGAGTTAGGAAAGAACTTGAGGTTGGGAACTTTCTAACCCCATCTTGGGTAGGGGAACAGTGACTCTCAAGGTCCGGCCGAAAAGGGTAAGAGTGTTGCAAGAAGTACTCATGTTTAAAATCTCACTTTGATACATGGACGGCAAACCAACCCTAACGATTTCTTAAGCACCTGTGAAATCATAGTACCTAAAGTCTCAGTCATGAGCGAGGACACAAAATAAACGGAGAAAGAACCCAAGAGGAAAGTTTTGTTGGGTAATTTTCAATAATGGTCAGTTCTTCAATAGGCATCCCATTCACATCTTGATGGTGACTCAAGAAACATGCATGGGTTGCTTAGTAATAATAGTTCCTTTCATCTTGGCTCCAAACTCTGATTTTCTTCTTTGGGAAAATTGTACTCTGTAGGAATGAACATAACACATACAGTGTTGAAGTCTCAGCTGTTTGTGTCTTGATTTTTTTTGCAGTACTGGAGCTGGAACTCAGGGCCTTCACCTTGAGTCAGTTCACCAGTACTATTTTTGTGAAGGGTTTTCGAGATAAGGTCTCAAGAACTATTTCCCCGGGCTGGCTTTGAATCAGAATCCTCCTGATCTCTGCCTCCTGAGTAGCTAGGATTACAGCCGTGAGCCACCGGTTCCTGGCTTGTGTATTAAATTTTAAAACACTTGCCTTGTTTTCCCAAGCATTATCTTTTTGCCTAGGTTTTCCTGGTGCTTTCAGGTCCATGTACATAAAACTCGTGACATATATGTCATGGTTTTTGGAGGTGCCGGGGTTTGAACTCAGGACTGTGCTGTTCCTAGGCAGGTACTTTACAGCTTGAGCCACACCTCCAGCCCTTTTTGCTCTGATTATTTTGGAGAGAGGGTCTCACATTTATGTCTGGCAGGCCTGGAGCTACTGTCCTATTTTTGGCTTCTGTATGTAGCTGGGATGACAGGCTGGAATGACATGTGTGCACCACTTCTCCTCCCTGCCTTGAGATGGGGGGTGTCTCAGGAACTTTTTTGTTGAGGGTGGCTTCAAACCCTGGTCCTCCCTATCTCAGCCTCCCAAGTAGCTAGGATTATAGGCCTTAGCCACCTTGTCCGCACAGCACATGCCATGTTTCACTAGACACCAAGTGGAAGTTCATGCTGCTGGTTTTTTTTATTTTTCTTTAGGACCTGTGAGGACTGTCCAAAGTTCGTAATAGATTTGATGTGATTATTGTTACAATCTCTTGTCAGGAAGACTTAATGAATAAATTCACTGACCTTGGTAATAAAGAAAAATGACAGACATTCTCTATCTACACCAGAAAATGAAATAATTACTTGATAAATAAAATTGAAGGTAACTCTTGAAATCACTGAGCATTTAATAAATTCTTCCTAAATACTTTGCTGTTTTAGGAAGACAGCTAGACCGGCCAAATATGGCATTTATAGATATATTAAGGCAGCAGTTTGGTTTGGATGATCCTCATTTTAACTTATATCAAAGAACTTAAGAGTCTTCCCTTTGAAAACATACCATATGCTGTCATTGTTTTGGTTACATTACATAAACATTATGCTTCAATAATCCAGACACAAACCTTTTAAGATTGGCCAATTTTTGCCAGCTGTTAATTTTTTTCTTTTAGTTATATGTTCTTTTTTGTTCTTACTCTGTTTTAATTTTTATCTTTGAATTACTTACTAGCTTTAACTGGATTTTCTGCCTATCTATTCTCTACTGTGTTCTGCCTTACAGAACACAGTAATAAGTAATTTAGACCTTAAAATAATGCTTTGAACACATCCCTCACTGTTTAGAAACCAGTGATAGCTCTCTGTTTTTTACAGAGGATAGTTCAGAATTCCTAGCCTTTTAACAGTGTGCTCAAAACCTGTTTTTCTCATGCCAGCAGTGTTTGTTGATAGTTGTTTCCCCTAACCTACATTTACATTTGTTATTTTCTACCTTTTAACCATAGCTGTTGCAACTTTGAATGTCCATGCATAGGCTGCCTACTATTTAAAACAAAAATTTCTTCCTCAATTACCCAAGTAGCAAATGAAATAAAATTTTGTTGAAGTTTCATTTTTGATCTTTAGTACAGCTTTCCAAACCGTTCCATTCCTGTGTTGCTGCTTTTATTTGAACCCATAGACCTAATTCTGTTGGTTTTAATTTTATGTGGGCTTATATAATATCAAAAAACATTACTGCTGAATTTTGGAATCCATACGGAGTAATTGCACTAAATTTCACACATCTTGTTACTGAGGCAGAGCTGAGACTCAAACCTAATCTCCTTAAGTTTTGTGTGTTTTTTTTTTTTTTTTTTTTTGGTGGCACTGGGGTTTGAACTCAGGACCTTTTGTTTGCTAGGCAGGCACTTTACTGCTTGAGTCACTCCTCTAGTCAGCCCTTTTTTGTGTTGCGTATTTTTGATACAGTGTCTAAGGAACTATTTGCTTGGGACAGGTTTTGAGCTATGATCCTCCTGATCTCAGTTTCTCTGGTAGCTGAGAATTATAGGCATGAGTCACTGGTGCCCTGGTATGTGCCCTGTTTTTGAGATAGGGTCTCCTGAACTGTTTGCCTGGGTTGGCCTGGAACCAAGATCCTCCTGATTTCTGCCTCCTGAGTAGCTAGGTTCATAGGCATGAGCCACCGGCAACCAGCTTCATGTGTTCTTTATGAAACCATACTGCTAATCTCATAACGTCACTTTGTATTGCTTCACAATATTTTGCATTTTGTGTATTAATGTCTTCTCATACAGATTTAGAACCTCTTGAGGACAGGGGAACCTTCATGACTTGAATTGTAAATTATTTAGATGATAATTTAAATTCCGTGTACAGTCTTCTCTCTTTGTTGGCTTTTGTTGTTGTTTTTGAGACAAGGTCTCACCTTCCTGCTCAGGCTGGTTTTAGACTGTGTGCTCCATTCTCCTGAGTAGCTGAGACTACATGTGTGTCACCACATCTGGCTTACCTTTTTAAAAATATATATTGTCTTCTTCTGTACTTATGTATTAGCAGAATTAACAAAATTAATATTGTCATCATACTTGAGTCCTGTGACCCACTAAAAAGTGGATGGTGGAGTTGGGGATGTAGCTTGGTAATAGAACTTACCTAGCAGTTGTGAATCTCTGGATTTGATCCCTAGCACTGCAGGTTGTATGTGTGTGTGTGTGTGTGTTCGTGTAGAAAATTGAATCCCTTGTAAGTTTTATTAGTAGAATTTGTTTGAATTTCTTGAGAAAAAGAATGACTCTTTAGGGGCCTTGAAAGTAAATGCAAAACGAGGTCATAGTGTGGAGTAAACCTGGAGGGTTTATGGAGTAGTAAATTAATTAATGCTCTCTTCCCCCTTTGGAGTATTAAAAGAGTAACACTTTTTGCTACTTTTTTTTTGTGTGTGTGTGTGGTACTGGGGCTTGAACTCAGGGCCTTCACCTTGAACCACTCCACCAGCCTTATTTTTTTTTTTTTTTTTTTTTTTTTTTTGTGAGGGGTTTTCCGAGGCAGGGTCTCATGAACTATTTGCCCTGGCTGGCTTTGAACCACGATCCTCCTAATCTCTGCCTCCTGAGTAGCCAGGATTACAGGCATGAGCCTTCAGTGCCCTTCTCTTGCTACTTTTTGTCATGTTGTTTGTCAAGAACCAGTAGTACATCTGCTTTTTGAGCAAAACATTCTAAAAATCATGTTGCATTTTGGGGAGTTAGAGAGCATTTGTATATTCCTTCTTCATTACCCTGTTCTCCTTAACTATAAAGTTTCTGATAATTGAGGTTACAGAGAGTTGCCTTGGTATTTTTCATAGTAAGAGCTGCTGGAATAAGTCAGCATAAAAAGCTGCCAGGTGAAATCTCTGGAGACAATGAATGCTTCCTCTTTTGACCTGAAATAGGTTAGGAAACAGTTTTTCAGTTTTTGGTTGTTAATATGACTTGTTTTTATTTGTGTAAATCAGTTAATAAACCTTGGTACTCAGGAGGCTCAGATGGGAGGATCAGGGGTTGGAGGCCAGCTTGGGCAACATGGGAGACCCTGTCTAAAACAGCCAGTCAGTAATAAAATTAAAAGTAAATAAGCCACTGGTAAAATAAACTTCTGAAGCATCGATTCTGTGTTCTCTTATTTCTGAAATTGTAGTTAGTGACTGGCGAGTTGGATGTGAGTATGATGTGAGT